CTCGACCTGTGACTTCCAGCCTTTCGATATTTACAGACCCCCACTGCTCCATGGACCAGCGGTTGAAGACCATTGCTGTAGATCTCCAACGATCAGGGACTGTTGTTTTATGAAAATTGTGTTTTAGTTTGTATTTTTTGTTTTGGGGCCACACATTCTCCTGGCCCTGTCCTCAGTGACCATTCCTGGCTGGGCTTGGGGCCACCATTGTGGTACTGGGTATCAAACCAGAGTCAGCTGCACATAAGGCAAGCACCCTAACCCCTATACTATCTCTGCTGCTCAGAGTTCTATTTTGGTCTTAAATTGGATATTTTAAGGCAGTGAATTATTTTTAAGTCGATTTTTTAAAAATGGAGATAACTTTGGAATTTTTTTTGGTTTGATTTGGGGTCACTGCTTGCTCAGGAGTTACTACGTCCTTTGTTCTAGGGGGTTGCTCCTGGCAGTGCTTGGTAGGCCATGCAGTGCCAGGAATTGAACCTGGACCTCCTCCTGTGTGCAAAGCCTGCCTTTACCCCACTGAGCTCTCTTTCTGGCCCTATTGAGGGAACAATGGTTTACAAGAGTGTGACTGTTTATCTGTTTCAGGGGTACAATGTTCACTCACCAACAGCCACCACCAGTGTTCTCCATGACAGTCCCATCCCTCTCAGTCCCTTGGTTACTTCAGATCTGGGCTTGGAGTCTGAGTTTCTTTTTCTGGATAGTGTCTTCCCTTATAAAGCAGTGACTCATAGCCAGGGACGACGTTTGTTTCTACCCTCTAAGGGACGGCTGGAAGTTTGTGGACATGTTTTTATCTCATTTATTTCTCTTTTAGCTTTGGGGCCACACCCAGCTGTGCTCAGGAGCTGTTCCCAGTCTGCCGAGGGTCATTCCCAGTAGTGCCCGAGGGAACGTGTGCTGCCTGGGATCAATCCCAGGGCTCCTGAAGGCAAAACTTGTGCTCATCCCTTTGACCTCTCCTCACCCTGCCCTTTTTTTTTTTTGATGGTCACGCAAAGGAAGTTTTAGAATCCATAAAGTTCTTTTTACTTCAGAAGAATAAAATGGGCTTTACCAAATATTTGATTTAAAAACTCGGAGAGGGTGGAGAGACAGTACAATAGGTAAGGTACTTGCCTTGCAAGTAGCTGACCCAGGTTCAATCCTTGGCACCCCATATGGTCGCCTAAGCACAACCAGCAATGACCCCTGGGTGCAGAGCCAGGCCTTAGAAAAGAATATGGTCAGGTGTGGCCCCATTTCCCCCAGCCCACCCCCAAAAGCAGGACACACAGTGAAAACCACGACTTAAAAAAGTACTTAAAAGAAGGAAAGTGCCTCCCAAAGTGAGAGGCTGGGGTGGGGGAGGGGGAGTATTGAAGGATGGTGATAGGGAAACAGGGGACATTGGTGGTGGGAAATGGGATGCGTGCTGCATCATTGTATGACTGGAACCCAATTATGAACAGCTTTGTAATGGTCTATCTCATGAATATTCGATTAAAATTTTTAAAAAAAAATTTAAAAAGTAATGTGGCGTGTATGCCCAATTCAATCAGGGCTGGAAAGCTGAAAGCAGAATCATACCCGCAGGTTGGGGTGCTTGTCATCAGTTTCAGAGCAGATGCTTTCCACGGCCAGTCTGCCAAACAGTAGATCACTGCTGGTTTGGAGCAGTGAATTTTAATCCCCCAACCCCACCCAACCCCACCCCACCCCCTAATGCAGCCTGGGGCAGCCACTGAAACTGTGTGTGAAAGTTGAACACCAGAGAGTTAGAAAACACTGGGGTTTGGGGGAGGGCTGGCTGCGGGATATTTCGGACTCTCTTGTAGCCAAGGCCAGTGGGGCCTCCTGGGCCAGCTGGCTTTCGGCCAGGCATGTGACCCCTGTTTACTTCTGCCAGTGGCGGATCCCTGCACTGACAGGATGTCCTGGTTGGTGAAGCTCCTTCCCAGAGCACATTCCTCCACGCCCTCTGGTCGTGATGTGGGGTGGTGTCCTTCAGTGTTCTTCAAGAAAGCAAGTTTCGTCAGGTTTTCTGCCTTTGAACTCTTTGGCAGGACTCCTCAGAGTCTTTGGGAGAAGGCAGCGGCAGCCAGATTTTCCCTGAGGATTGTGCTATTATCAACGAGGTGACTGTTCTTGAAGATGACGTTTATTCTTTGGCTGGTGAGATAGGGCAGGAGCGGTTGCCTCGTACGTGACTGAGCCTGGTTTGATCCCTGGCACCCTGTGGAGTTCCCCTGAGCACAGCCACGTGGTGGTCCTCCCAAACCCCCAATTTAACATAGAATAGCATTCATTCTCAAATGGCAGTTACAAAATTAGTGATTCTGGCATTAGGCAACGTGTGGAATGTTTTCATGGTGACAAGAACACCAGGAATGCAGAGGGGTCTTCATTTCCATGGAACTCCCTCAGAGCTGGAGCGTTCAATGTCTTGCCCAAGATGCCACAGCTTCTGAGGGATGGAGACATGCAGATCTCAGGCTGGGGTCACCAGTATCTGTAACCCCCCCCCCCCCAACCCCTGCGTGACTGTTCTAGCCTATCCCTGCATCCTAAACTATCGGCATCCAAGGGTGATGCAGTTCAAAAGTTGTCAGTTTTGTGAGTAACTGAAGGAGGCCAGCCAAAGCCAGGGGAAAAAAAGCATTTTCCTGAGTATTTGCTGCATTTAGGATCCTCTCCTATGCATGTACATACTTAAAAAATTCATTTCTTGATTCCCGCCCCCCCCCCCCCCGCCCCGTGTGAAGTTCAGGGCTGTGATGCCTATTCATTCCAGTCAGTCAGAGTTCGCAGCTTGATGAAGAACTTCCCATGCCTTGATGATAAACAGGTTTCCTCCTGAGGAGATACGTTTGTAATGTGAAGGTTTCAATGCGCTTTGATTTCTTTATCTGGAATTTCATCCCAATTAGTTTGCTAACTTAGTTGGCTAACTGTGACCTGGTCCTGGGCTCCTGGCCAAAATAAATCGTGCTAATGAAGAATAACAAACTTCAGGAAAAGCTTGAGCTCCTGAGTTTCAGAACTTAGAAATTATCTATTCCTGATTTCCCACTTCACAGATAAGGAAGTGGAGTCTCAGGGCGAGGAGAGGGAGCGTGTCCCAAAGCATGTCACCACTTGTAGCCCTCTCTCCCAAAAGTACTGCTTCTAAGGCAGGTGAAGACAGGCAGCAATTTTACTAAGACCCACTCCATCAAAAACTTAACACAAAATTGCAGTGGAGGGGCTGAAGTGTTAGTACAGTGGGTGGGGTGCTTGCCCTGCACATGGCCCACCCAAATTCAATTCCTAGCACCCCAAATAGTTCCCAGGAGTGATTCCGTGACTCCTGAGCTCAGAGCCAGGGAGTAAGCCTTAAGCGCTGCTGGGTGAGAACCCCAAAACAGAAACAAAAAATTGCAATGGGTTGTCAGTACATATAAACATTCGAATTTTAAAAGACTTTCACTTTTTTTTTTCTTTTTGGGTCACACCCAGTGATGCTCAAAGGTTACTCCTGTCTGCACTCTCTGCACTTAGGGATCACTCCTGGCGGTGCTCAGGAGCCACCGGGTTCGATGCTGGGCATTGAACCCGGGTTGGCCACATGAAAGGCAAAAGCCTTACCGGCTGTGCTATCGCTCCAGCCCCAAGACTTTCACTTTTTAAACATTTATTTTTTAATTTGGGAAATTTGGGAACTATACTACCTCATTGTTCAGGGCTATTCCTGGTGGTGCCTGGGAGCACATAGGGACTAAATGTGGGTAGGTCATATGCAAGGCAAGCATCTTAATCTCTATACTGTTTCTCTGACTTTTCATTTTGTATTAGATACATTTTTGCATGTGTGTGAGTGTGTGTGTGTGTGTGTGTGTGTGTGTGTGTGTGTGCGCGCGCGCATGCACGTGCGCTCATTTCACATTGGGTATTATTCAGGAGCTACTCCTGGGTGGGTCCTCAGAAGTTACTTCTTTTTTGTGGGGGGCAGTATCATACCCAGTGATGCCCAGGGGTTATTCCTGGCTCAGGGGACCATATAAGATGCAGGGGATTGAACCTGTGTTGGCCGCATGCAAGACAAGCGCCTTACCCGCTTATTCTATTGCTCCAGCGCGTAGCCCTGGTTTTCTTTTTAAACTAGGACAAGGTAGTTTATTTGTAAATAGTCTCTGTTTTTTGTTTGGGGGCCACACCTGGAAGTTCTTTGAGGTTATTCCCATCTCAGGGATTGCGATCAGCCTTTCTGGGGGGACCATGTGGTCCCAGGACTTGAACCTTAGCCTCCATTGTGTAAGGCATGTGCTCCAGGCCTTTGGGCCATCTCCCTGGCCCAGTGGTTTCTGTTTTTTATTGCGAAATTCATACATGTTAACATTGTAGAACAGGGGTTGAAAAACTCTGATCTGCAAACCACATAGGTCTGTGCCTGTGTTTTGCAAATCAGGTTTTACTGGTGCACTGCCATGCCTGATCACATATTTATTGTCTTTGGTGACTGGTAGTCATGGCAGAGAATCTAATTAACCAATCTTAAAATACTTAGTCTTTTCCCCATTACAGAACAAGTTTGCCAAACCATGCTATAGAATATATGAAAGGAAAAAAACAGAAAGAAACAAATAAAAAAAGTAGCCCATGTTTTATCTCTGGCACTGCATCGAGCCATTTTGGGGGTCAGAGCGATAGTATGAGCAGGTAGGGTGCTTGCTTGCTCATTGTCAACTCAGGTTCGATCCACAGCACCCCTCCATGGTCCCTGGAGCCCTGCCAGGAGTGATCCTTGAGTGCAGAGCCAGGAGTAAGCCCTGAACACCGATGAGTGTGGTCCAAAACAACAATAAACACTTTTAAGTGGAAATTCCATTGAGCGTTAATGGTTTTGAGACTATTGGCACTTGGGGAACCAGTTGTTTTCCATCTGTGCTCCTACCAGCAGTGCCTCAACTTTGCCATTCCACAAGTGCTCCAAACCTCCTTCTGCTAATGATTTTGGTTTGCTTTCACCCACTCAGGGGCAGGTTCAAGATGGTGGTCTGCGTCCTGTCTGCGGTCACAACAGGCCTCGCGTTTGTCAAGCCCGCCATCAACAGCATCTCACTGATGTCCCTGGGGCTGCCTTGCACCGCGCTGCTCATCGCAGAACTCAAGAGGTGGGTGCTTTCTGCCTTCCTCCCCATTTGCTATTTCTGTGCAAGAAACATGCCGTCTTTTGGTTCTTCGACTGCTCCTGAGTGTGGCAGAGAAGTCTGACGCTACTCAAAGAGTTAGTTTCTCACTGTTGAGCTGGAAGCAAGCTAATGTTTTTTTGTTCAAAATGTTAATCTCATTTTCTTCGAAGCAAGGGGACCAGCTGTTGAGTGATTGCAATGCGTCCCGATGATCAACAAGCTGGCTTAGCAGGGACTTCTCAGAACCTGGCACTCACCTAGACCAAGGAGTCTAGATTTATTAATGTACGAGGGAGTGGGTTTATTTATGAGACAAGAATAAGGAGGAAAAGTTTATTCTAAAAAGTTTATTGCATTCCCACACGAAAGAAAAAAGAGGAAGGAGAAAGAGGAAGTAAATTTTTATATCCAAGGAAATCCAACTTCTTGGATGTTGTTGATGGCGGTACTCTCTGCGGCTTATTTATAGTTGATTAGGTCTAGCTTCTACTGTTTGCATAACTGTGTTCCTTTTGGGAAGCTCTATACTCAATTCAGGTCAGACCCAGAAGGATTTCCATTTAGATTTTTAGTACATGACTATCTTCCACACCTATTGTAAGACATTTAGCCACTGTCCTTATTTGACAATACTTCTTTCTCTTTTCTCCCACTGTAGAAGTTCATGTTCATCAGTTGGCTTATTGTTATGGATATGGAGTATCTTAATTGAAATTGGTATCTATGTCCCTTTGTGCTCAATGTAATAGGTTAAGCCACAGGCTCTCTCTCAGGCCTTTTTTGTTTATTTGTTTTTTATGCCACACTCAGGATCACTCCTGGTTCTGAGGTTGAGCCAAGTCAGCTGTGTACAAGGCAAACACCCTACCCCCTAGACTATCATTCTGGCCTTCAGTCTTTGTTTTTAGTGGAAATGCACCCACCCTCCCTCATTGCTTTGTTTTTATCAGCTATACCAGGCAGTCAAAGGAGGAGCTGGAATAGCAGGTAGAGCTCTTGTTTTGCATGTAGCCAACCGAATTTGATCCTCAGCACACTGTATGGTCCCTGGAGCCCAGCAGGAGTCCTTGCTGTTATTAGTATTAATGTTTTGGGCCACACCTGGAGTCCAGCAGCAGATCCAGAAGTAAGCCCGAGTACTGCCCAAAGAAAAGCAAAAAAACAAAAAAAACACAAAAGGTGGTTGAAGAGGTACTTAAAACTTGCTGGCTGGCAGCAGGACATTGTTAGGTCTTGTCTTGTTGGCTTCTTTGAGGACTGTGGAAATAAGAAACCCATCTGAGAGTCAGGTTAAAGTTCCTCCAAGAATGTGTGTCCTTACGAGTAGAAAAATAGATATTTGAATAAAAAGCAAAGTCACACCTCTGATAGCCCGCATTTTTTATTTGCCTTGTACATGGTCAACCCACGTCCATCCCTGGCACTACGTACGGTACTCTGAGACCTGTCAGGAGTAACCGCTAAGCACTACCTGGTGTTCCCAGTACACCCAACCCCCCTCCACCACCAAACCCCTCGTGTTATTAGCCTGATATTTTAAAATTTTCTTGGTACTTGATCATATTACTTGGAAAAATTGGAGAGCTTCTTAGTAACCCTAAATCTGCCTGCTCATTCGCTTACTCACTCGACCAGTGTTTATTGAGCTCTTGCTCAATGCCAGTTACCATGGCTCTTACTCAGAGGAGTCATCAGAATCACTTAGGAAGCTCATTGGAAGCATAAGTGCTTAACTGTGATCATGCAGAGGTTTTGATTCTGAAAGTCTAGGATGGGGACCTATGGATTTGGCATTTTTGGAGTGGGGCCATAGCCATTTGGGCCATAGCCATTTGAGTTCAGGGCTTACTCTTAGCTCTGTATTCTGGCATCACTTCTGGTGGTGCTCAGAGGAAAGGGAGCTTATGGGGTGCCATGGATTGACCTATGGTTATCTGAATGCAAGGGAATCACCTTATTTGTCTACAGTTTCTCTGGACTGCTTTTCTGGTTTTTTTTTTTTAGATCACGTTTCTTAAGAGTTGTCTCTTCCATGACCCCTTCTTGCCCTATTCGTTCTCAAGTCCCTTTCAGTCTGGCTTCCTTCCTCATCTGTATTGTGAAATGTTTTTTCCAGGATCATTCCCACTCTTTAAAAATTATTATCGTCATTGTTATTATTAATATTAGATTTTTGGACCACAGCCAGCTGTACTCAGGGCTTACTCTTGGCTCTGTGCTCATGGATCAGTCTTGATGGTGCTGGGGAGGGGAGGAGTGCGACTTATGGTCCCCTGGGATCAAACCTGGGTCAGCTGTGAGCAAGGCAAGTGCCTTATCTGATATACTCTCTCTAGTCTTAAAATTTGATTTGCATATTTATTGTAGAAAAGTTAAAGTGTAGGGGCTGGAGTGATAGTACAGAGGGTAGGGCATTTCCCTTGCATGTGGCTGACCAGGGTTCAGTCCCCATCATCCCGTATGGTCCCCCAAGCACCACCAAGAAGTCATTCCTGAATGCCGAGCAAGGAGTAACCCCTGAGTACTGCTGGGTGTGGCCCCCAAACCAAAAAACAAAACAAAACCCCAAAAAGGAATAGTACAAGTGTAAATATAGCCAAAGTGAAAAATAAGCTAGTCACTTATTAAATGAAATTAATACAAAATTACTTAAAATTTGGTACTTACAATATGGCACATATGATATACTAAAACAGTAACTTTCTCAGGCCATGGATATGGCTCAATGGTAGAGCACAAATACTAAACTTGTGACCTTCTATTAATGTATTCAAATAATATTCTTGTGCTATTGCTTTTGTTTTTTTGGACCATACCTTGTGGTGACTCCTGACTTTTTGCTCAGGAATCTTACAGCAGAGTTCAGGGGACCAACTGCGGTTCTGGTGATCAAACCTGGGTCCACCATGTGCAAGGCAAATGCCTTACCTGTTTTTAGGAGTCAGAAATATAGTACAGTAGGTAGGCACTTGGGTTTCATGCAGAGAACATTCCAGCACCACACTCTTCACCAGAGTAGACACTTCTCTTCAACGTTTTCTCAGGGCCCCCTCCCAACACCTCCATTCTTGCCCTAATGGACTTTCTAGTCGTGTGTTGAGGATTAAGCAATGTCTGGTACATGGGTAGATATTCAACCGTATTTGTTGTCTTTTTTCCTTACCTCTACCTTTCATCAAGGATAGTTAAATTAACCTAAACGAGTGGCATCTACCTTTTCTACTCTGTCCCCTCTTTTGGGGATTTTAGAATTATTATTAAGAAAGTCCCCCTAATGTGTCCTGGGTGGAAATGCTAGTTGTACTGACATGTCAGAGTTTCTGGGCCTTGAGGGACTGTCCTCCATGGCTTTGGAGCTTGCTCATGTACTGCTGAAGCCAACTCTGATCTTGAAGCTCTTTGGAAAACACATAATCTAACCACTGATAAAGACATCTGAAATAGATTTTTGTAATAGTCCAGGGGTGCTGGTTTTTATGAGATCTGAAGTGAATAGACTGTTCTGGATTGGGCCCTGTTTTTTTAAATTCCACTGCAATCTAGTTTATTCTAACTCAAGTCTAATAATATGTTTTAGCCTATAATTTTGTTAAAAATAGCTTAGGTAAAAGGAAAATATTTTTAATTCATAATACTCAAACAAGAGCAATATGAGATACAATGGCTAGTGAGGAATATTTTATTTTAAATTTTTTATTGGTGAATCACCGTGAGGTACAGTTATAGACTTACTAGTGAGGAATATTTTAAATAAATTCTGCTCCAGATTGGGGTCTCTGAAACAGAGAAATATATTTCCCTTTAGTATTCCAATCTTTCTAAGTAATTACAGGGTAATACATGTCTATTCTATATGCAAAACCTTGCTCTTAAAAGTGAGCCATTGGGTCTGGAGCAATAGCACAGCGGGTAGGGCGTTTGCCTTGTACGCGTCCGACCTGGATTCGATTCCCAGCGTCCCATATGGTCCCCCAAGCACCGCCAGGAGTAACTCCTGAGTGCAGAGCCAGGTGTAACCCCTGAGCGTTGCTGGGTGTGATCCAAAAAGCAAAAAAAAAAAAAAAAAAAGTGAGCCATTGTCACATCTGATTGATCTCATTATCACTTTCACCAATTGCAGCCTCATACAGAGTATTTCTCTCTTCATTTAGATTGATCCTTCTACATATGGGTTATTCCTGTTTTGTTCCTATACCTACTTTGCTTCTGGAAATTGTCTAGGTGTTATCTGTCTTAATTTCTAGGTGAAATTTGTCTGTCTGTTTTTGGACCATGGCCACTGATGCTCAGGAGCTACTCTTAGTTCTGTGCTCAGGAATTACTCCTAGCAGTGCTCAGGGATATGGCATATGGGATGCTGGGGATCAAACTTGGGTCTGTTGCATGCAAGGCAAACACCTTGCCCACTGTTCTATCGCTCTGGCCTCCAAATAATTTTTTTTGGCTTTGTATTGGGCTACACCTGGCAGTGCTCAGGGCTTACTTCTGGTCCTATGCTCAGTGATCATTCCTGGTGGGGTTTAGGGAATGATATAGGGTGTCAGGGATCGAATTCTGGTTCCAGGTCAGCCACATGCAAAGCAAGCACCCTGCCCATTGTACTGTCTCTCAGGTCTCTACAGGGTGATTTCTGTTAGCCTACAAAACAGCTGAGTCTTGGGCTGGAGAGAGAGAGTACAGCAGGTAAGGCAGTTGCCTTGTTGTGGCGTGAACTACCAGGGGTTACTCTTGAGTACAGTCAGGAATGGCTCCTGAGCACCTCTTTGTGTTGCCCACAATGGGAGGGGAGGAGAAGGAAGGGGGAAGAAAGGGAACGGAGAAGGAAGGGAGTAGGAAGGAAGGAGCTGGCTCACAGGTTCGTTGGTTGAGTCTAGGAGGCAAACACATACTTTTTATGGAGGAGACCCAGGTTTGATCCTTGATACCACGTGGCCCCTCGAGCACCACTGGAAGCAGCCCCTGAACACTGGTAGGTTATCCCA